GAGTGCACGCTCCTCAAACTGCGGCCTGCGGGCCACCTGCAGCCCGCCTAAGACAATTATTTTTGCCGCCACTGCCTGTTCTGCTTTGCCACCAACTCATTCTGGGGCTCGCAGTCCAGCCCTCCAAGGGTCTGAGGGACAGTGAACTGGCCCCCTGTTTAAAAAGTTTGAGGACCCCTGGTTTAGCGGAAGGTTCAGCAGACTCCCCAGTGCACGAGGGGCACGCTGCTGGCTCCTGGGGGTCTAGATAAGTCATCACTGTTTTTTATGTCTAGCCTTTTCAATCTATAAAACACCTCTTCATCTATGCTTTAAAAAGAGGTGTTATTAACTTGGGAGGCTGAGGCAAGAGGACGGCTTGAGCCCAAGAGTTTGAGGTTGCTGTGAGCTACGATGCCACAGCACTCTACCTGGGTGACAGAGTGAGACTCTGTTTCCAAAAAAAAAAAAAAGAAAGAAAGAAAGAAAGGTTTTATTAAAAAGGCAAAGGGAAGAGGAAGAACAAGGATATGCGGTTGGGACACAAGAACTTTCTGGGAGTGCAGAAATGGGGACAGGCAAAAGTCAGAGGGGAAACTGGCCCTGAACTCACTAACGGGAGGCGGGAGGAACGAGATTTTAAAAAATGGACCAAAAGTTTCATTCATTGTGCCAGTAAGAAACTGTCATATCGCTCACTGGCTGGACACCCTTCTGGTATGTTTGCTTGTAATACGTGTAAATGCCATTCAGTGTTAAATGCAGTAAATAAAGTTACAGATGCAAAGACAGTGAAGATGCGTTCGTATCTTAGAACGTAATGACACATTCATACACAAAGGCAGAATGACACAATTAGAAAACAAAGGAAGATTCAAGAGGTAACTGGGAAAGGGGGAAGGAAGAAGGCGGGTCTGGGCATCACAAAGAAATGAGGAGGGAAAATCCAGGTGGGCGTGCAGGAAAGGGGTGAGCCATCCAGCCACCTGCTAGTGCAGAGAAGAGCTCACCCTCGGGGACACGAGCTGTTTTCAAAAGCAACCTGAACCCTGTATAGATGATCAAATAAAAAGGGGACAAGACCACCAGGACGGCAAATTTAGTACGAACAAAGCAGGGACATGAGTAAATGGTCTCCATTGAAGTACTGCCCTTATCAGAGGCTACTGAAACGACCAGAATTAGTCTCTAAGTCTCCAGAACAGGGTTAAGATGATGGGAGGAGACAGCAGTGTGTGTCTGTTCAAAATCTGGAAGGCAGACTTCTATTTTCTACTACTTCAGATTTCACTAAATGTGTCCGAGTTGAGAGTAAATTTTAGCACAGAGAATTTCACTAGAATTTCTGAGCCTGGGGTTCCTCATCGGTAAATTTAGAAAAGATTTGGTTCAAACTGAAGAGCCTCCAGTCTTTACAGTTTCTAATGTTTTTGGCATCAACAAGTAGGGTTTAAAGCGAAGTTATTTAAATACCTACAAATATAGTTCCCCGGAGCAAGAAGAAAGATGGGTGGGAAGGTGAAGGGATGCCATGTTCAAACGGAAGGGAGGAAATCAGCCCCCTGGTACATCAATTCATCACGCTGGTCTTTTCCCACTGGTAGGGATTCACATTGTCACGGCAGGAACAATGGTTTGCCATGCAACCCAATAAAAAGATTAAAAAAATAATAATAAGTTTGGCCTAAGACAGAAATACCAATACATTCCTGCATCCAAGAGTCTGCTGTCAAGCACAGTCTCTTGTCCAAAAATCATTTTCTTTCAAGGTGATACTACAGCTTCCTGGCTACCATTTAATTAATCAGCTCTTTTTATGCTAATCACAGTTTGAAATCTCGCCCCAAAGTCAGTTCTATCCATATCAATGGTAATAAAATTTTAAAGCCCAGACAAAGAAAGCAAATTAATGGTGCAAGTATTAGGGGACCCACACAATCACTGCGGTAGGAAGAACTACTAACCCCAACAGAAAAACTTCAGAACAAAATATATAGAAATATATATACATAGATCTCCATACACGCTTTTTATTTCAGTTTTCTGTTAGATTCCTTAAGATCTACATGTATATATAAATTAATAATGTGAACACATGAAATTATATGACTTTATGAAAGACCCACAAAAATCTGACACATACACTATACCTATATAACATTTTTGCCTTCTGTCATGATAAAGACCAAGGATGTTGCAGTTTCACAAGACTCCATGAGGAAGGAACTAATTCTAGCATTCCAAAATAAAACCCTAATGCTGGCAGGTAGCTGGGATGGGGAGTAATACTGCAGACACAATTACAGGAATCCCTCTCTTCCACTCTCTCAGGCTCCAGGAAAAGAAGAATCAATTAGCCCTCCACAGACTGTGACCTTGAAGGCTAGCGCTCTGGGGATCATATGCTGAATATGCTGAGACAGGAAGAAAATCGAAGAGGGACAATAAAATCCTCAAGCCACCAAAAAGCACGTTTCAGATATGATAATGTCATCTTAAAACATAAGCCCGGCAGTTTAGTTCATGTTAAAAACATGGCATGATAAGAGTTCCAGTTCTTTCTGCGACTAGTTAAAAAGAAGGGAAGGGATTACAAAATGACAGTCGCATTCTAAACTCTTCTCTCTTTCCTTTCCTTTATTGCAGTGGTTCTCAACCTTCCCAAAGCCACGGTCCTTTAATAATACAGTTCCTGTGGGCCTCGACCCTCAGATTGAGAACCGCTGCTTTATTGAATGGTTACAACCTTTTATACACAACAATAAAAAACACACCATTTAGAAGTCTCTGCAAACAAAGCTACCTGGCCTGATCCCTTTCCAACAAATAAAAAAAAGAATTTTTAAGATACTCATGTTCTTTACTTATTTATTTCTTTAGGCGCCAGTCCAAAAAACTAGCACATTGTTTCTTTATAGCCTTACGGTGTTAACCGACTGTCTACCACTAACTTTAGGAGAAGACGGCTTCCCGGTCTGTTTTCCCCCGGTTTATAAACTCTGATGCACTTCAGAACACTGCAGCGAAGCATCGGGCCAAATTGGCTACACTGATGCTTAGGCAGCAGGAAATTTTTCCCACTTACTGCAAATGCCACAATATCAGTGCCCTGGTTTGGAAAGAACAAAATAAAATAAAATAAACTATATGGGATTAGAACCTACTCAAACACTTAGGTAGAGGAAGTGACCTTCACACATAATTTCTCAAAACTTCACGACACACTTGCTGACATGGTTCTAGGTAAGGAAAAATGTGCTGAGTAAGTTTTATTTGCTTGATTTCCTCAGATGCCCAAATTATAAGATTTACTTAAAGAGTTTTTCAAAGGGCCATCTTTCTTTTTCCAGGCAACGAAACCTAGGCCAGCACATCTTAATTAAAGACTTACAGTTTACAATGATAAAGGTAAAGAAGTAACCTTATCTTCCTGGCGAATTCTGCTTTTCTTTGCAAGACCTGTACTTGCTTTTTATAGCCTGTCATTTCGTCTGGGTATGATTTCGTGGTCACTCTGCCAGGTGGGTGGAGGCAGCGAATGCAGTGATGTTGGTCAGACCTTTAATGATGCTTCAGGGATTTGACAGGCAGCATGTGCAAGATGGAGCAGGTTTTCCCTAATTACACCTGGAAAATAAGCTGCTTTTTTCTTAATCCTTTTTCATCCTTGCCACTGAAACTGGGATGTGAGATGACCCTGAATGGCGAGCACAAATCAAGTTTCTTGTGTTTCTATAACACATTGCTCCACCTCACACCAAACGTCATAATCTGGAAAAGGTATTCTTAACTCTTCTTCATGACCGGCTAGAGGGAAAACAGAAGGGGTGTTTCATCAGAGACTCCCTCCTTCTCTTTTAACTCTAAGGGATTTTACACATGTAATTAAGAGCTAAGTTCTCTGATCTTTTACTTTATTTTTTACTAAGTAAATATTCGTCATAGATCTCAAAACAGAACAAAAATAAACTCCAAACATTTTTTAATAAAAGGCTACAGAAAACTCCTCCTTCCTCTATTGATGTTCAGAACAATCTGACTCATCAGGGTTTCTCCTTGTCAACTTTCCATTGTAAAACTACTGCAGTGACCCAGGGCAAACGGCAATATATTCTTCTGTATTGTTTTAAGAGCGTGGGCTCCTGCACCCACAGCTTATTAAACCGGGCTGCTGCAATCTACAGGGTGAAGAGGAGGCACACGTCTTAAAGAAAAAAAAATGATGTACCTTACTAAACGATCTTGTACTTTTTAATGACTGCCAAGGAAGCTATTTAAACATTTCATTACAGAAGACAAAACTAATTTGGGGAAATCCCTTCCTGCAGAATCGTACCATGTCCTGCACAAAATAAAGCTTCCCCTAATACATGCTCAGTAAGTTAAGACTAGGATGTGGGCAGGACGGCAGTGGTGTTCAGCTGGTGGGGGTGAGCACAGCCAGTGTTTTAAGACTCGCTGCAAAAGCCCAAAGGACCAACTAAAATACAAAGGTGGGGAGAAGTGGTGAGGGAACAGGAAGAGGCGGCAGAAAGAGCCAACAGGAGTAGCTTGGGGTCCTGGGAGGTGGATGGTACTGGAACGGGGTTACCAGAAAGTCTACCAAGGGAAAGAGACACAACATCATACTCCCTGGGAGATGGAAATCACATTTATATATAATGGAAGGGCCGATGTGTTGATTTTTAAAGGTGCTAGAAAGAAACTGAATCTAACTTAAATGCAAGTATGACTTGCAGAGGCTCAAGTTTTACAAAGCCCCAGATTTAACATTCAGCCAGAGAGAGCCGCAGCCGTTAAAAAGACCTGGATCCTGGTTTGGATCAGGAGCCCCTAAGACCTTTTTACGATCCCTGAGATGCCAACCGGAGCATCTCAGTCACATGATTCACCCCAACAAAGCCACGCCACTAAAATGCAAGAAGGGCAACAGAGCCCCGGGTCTCTGGGGACACCTTTTGGGACCTCTCGCCCACCCATTCCTTTGTTCATCATCATCATCTGTCTCTCTCTCTACTTACAAAGTTTAGGAGCAGTTTGGAGATTAGTTTCAGTTGTTTGTGGCTGAGTTGCTGACTTGGGTGTTCTCACCTCAGGGTTCCGGGTGGGTGACGGGAAGGGTGGCGCGGTGGAGGGCAGGAAAGAAAAAGCAAAAATACGAGTCTTCGGTGTCAGAGCCGCTGAAGGCTCGGAGGACGTGCCAGCCTTGTCAACTCGCACTGTGACTTGAAGCTCAGTTTCAGATTGAGCCCTGGAGACAGGTGAAGTGTATGCCTCAGAGGACACCCATCCAGCTGAGGCAGGCGTTGAATCCAGAGAAATAATAGGGTCCTGGCCTAACCCCCCAGGGTCCAGGTGAGTGGGAGAGTCGTACTCAAATATCTTGTCCACAAATACCCACTTGAGGCCGGCAATGCAGAGGCAGAGGCTGACCAGACAGGCCAGAATGGGGACAATGCAGATTTTCTCGGAGTTGAGGCAGCCTCTCAGACGGTCGGCTTCCAGGCACACACAGCAGGGCACGGCCAGGCCCACGAGCCCGGGGGTGCCCCCGTCCTCGGTGTGGGGCTCTGGCATGCCTTCTGCTGCCGGGAGCCCGTCTAGAGACGGGTCTGCACTCAGCCGAGTGGAGGGGCTGGAGGACCTCTCAGCAGCTCCCTCAGACATGTCTGAGGAATCAGTCTCCATCGGCTCACCTCCAGAAGGCCCGGCGGCTCTCACGGTCCATTACCACGCAGAGGCCCCCCCAGCCAAATGATACAGCATCTTAGAGGGGGAGATCGATAGGTCGTCCAAGTCCAAGGCCATTATCCAAAGCAAGAAGAGTTCAGGAGGAAGAAACAGGAAAAAAGAGAGAAAAAACAAAAAAAAGCTTCTAGCAACTCCCCCCTCCCCCCCCAAAAAGTATCTGGTAATAATTCTCGAGCCGCTGTTTCGGGGCCACTTTCCTAGTTCTTTCCGGTGCTTCTGCAAACCATCCCCGCCGGTCCAGAGGGCAGGGGCCGGCCGAGAAGCGGCAGGGCTGCTGGCGAATTAAGTAAACCAGTAGCCCAAACTGAAAGGCATGGTCCCCACCTCAAGCCTCTGAAGCTGGTGTCTGCTCAGATGGAGGAAACAACCGTCATGCCCGAGCAGCAGCAGCAGAAGCAGGACCCGCGGTGGCGGCGGCGGCGGCGGCAGCAGCGGCGGCGGCAGGAGGGGCAGCAGCGACAGTAGCAACAGCATCCTGTTGTGTTAGCGCAGCGGCTGAAAGCGGCTGAATCATTACGGAGCAGCAGGTGCCTGCCCTCGGAGCATCGCGGAGGCCCGGCCGGCGGGCGCGCGGCCGGGAGGGCGGCGACTCCCTTCCCCGCCCCGTCCCCACCCCGCCCGGGCTACTCCTCTTTGTCCTTCCCGAGCGCTCATTCACTTTCTCCCTCTGCGGCTCGGCTCTGCTTCAGTCTCTCTCTCTTTCTTTCCCCTTCTCATCCAAACACGTTCTTCCCAGTCTGTCTCTCCTGCTCTCGCCCCACTCCCCGCTCCCAGCCCCCACTCTCTCTCCACACTCTGGACCTGCTGCTGGCTGGTCTGAGTAACATCAGTGTACCCAGAACACAGAACTGCCAGCGACTTCCTATTTTATCCAATTAGAAGGAATAAAGGCCATCAAATCAAAGAGAAGCAGGCAGGCACCAGTTAAGAGGAGTTCCCGGCCCCTTCTCCTCTTTTTTTCTTTCTCTGCAAAAGCAGCCCCAGACCCTGCGCCCACCCCCCACCCCCCTTGCTTTAAGTCTCGCTGTCTCTCCTTCCTTCACCCACTGTGGGGTCAGAAAAAGCCAGCGATCGATGCTAGCAATCTAACAAAGCTGGGATGGGGCGGGGGCTGTAGGTGGGACCGCAGGGGTTGGACCTGAGGCTTGGCACAGCCTGCTATCTGATTCCTCCCTGGAGAGGTCAGCTTTCTGAGAGCAATTTCTTCCAGCCTGCAGCTGAGAGGCAGCGTTCCTTCCCCAGCCCTCTAATAAGTTGTGTTCACCAAGAAGACTGACTTTCAACCATCAGTTCAAACATTTTTTCCCCCTAACCATGGACAGCTCTGCCTTTAGCTCTTTTTTTTTTTTCCTTTTTGCAAGACTTTGTAATGCCCAGAGTGACATGCTGAGTGTCGCGGGAGGAAGGGAGCGCTCTGAGGGCGGGGATGGAAGTCTCTGTATCTCCACTCTGGTCCCCTTCCCACTTCCAGTTCCCTTGCCCCACCCACGGCAACTAGACTAATGTCAAACTAACAAGAAGTGCCGGCAAGGAAGAGCAGGAAGGGACCACAGACGACCGCTTCATCGCTTCATCGCTTCATCTTCAAACTCGCCTTCCATTGTGACTGCACACGGCGGAGACCTGAATTCCCCGGGCGCTGTAATCTATACCACATGTCCTCAGCTCTAACTCGCTGCGAGTATTAAGCAGAGTTTTCTATAAGGGCATGCCTTCTGGGTTGGGTTTCAGTAGCTTTAGCTCACAGATATAGTTTCAATGCTGGATATTTGTTTTTCTTTTCTCTTAAAACAGCAGTCATTAAAATGCTGGGAGAAAGGCACTGTCCTCGGCGGAGCACACCCCCCCCCGCCCCTCCCCCAGGCATTCTGCTGCCTGCCCCCACGTTCTGTGCATCTGAACCTTTCATCTGTACTTACCGTGCCTGGACGTCTGAATGGTTTCCAAGGAACCATTTTGCTCCCCTATGTCAATAGGAGTCTTTAAAACTCTCTCTAAATCTATACTACATATCTATCACATGAGTCCCAGAAGTAGTAAAATTTCGAGCTGGAGTCTTGAGATGTGCTTTAAGCCTGTTATGTTTTGTGTGGCACCATCTTCATTGCTTTGAAATACGTCTAAGCTCTAAATGCCAGGAGATAAGAATGTGATCATTTCCTTCAAGATGAGATTACTCGGTAGTTATAAATGATTTAAAGGGTATTA